GGTGGATTCTTGGAGTGAGATACATGCACCAGTGAAACCAGAGACACCAGTTGTTCCGGTCCACGAACCACCGAAACGCATCCAAACAGTGGAATGCCTGTGTGCAGACGGTGACAGGAAGTGGTGTGTGTAGTGGATAGTGGCGACCAGTGGTGTTAATGAAGTCGCCGGAAAAGTGTGCTTGATTCGGCTGCAGCTTTCGTGAAAGAGACCTGAGTGTGAGATGCTGAAGTGCAAAGTTGGGATAGGGTGAGCTCACCGGTCGTCAGCTGACCCACACACAAAGTGAGAACCGCCTAAAATGGTCGAGAGGAGTCTGTGTACCAGTTGTGGACATCGGTCCTTGAATACCGAAGAGATGGCTTGTCAGACCGTTCAGCCTAAGATCGAACCGGTTCCTGTGACTGTGAAGACGTCGAATGTCGCTATGCAGACCAGTAAGTTCTCAAGTCTCTGTCAGACATCCAGTGAAGTAGTGACACATGTGACACCGGCACCCTACGTCGAGTCATCACTATCCATGGCCATGAAGGTCGAGAAGCCAGTCACTCAGGACGTTGGAATGCAGTTCGGAATGCGTGTGGCCACGCGTGTCATGAGCTCTGGCTACCAGGTGCAACAGACCAGCAGCCACACACTGACGGAAGCAGTGGGAGTAGCAGAACGAGAAGTACAGGTGACTCAAACCGAACGACCAGTTGTGACCAGTGTGGATCACAGAGAAATGAAGACAGTGAAACCTGATCATATGATGTCAGTGAGTACCTCCTACGCAGAACCGCCTGTCAAACAGCCACCACCACGCCAACTGACTGACACTGCCACACAGGCGACCTCCGTTACCACACACGTCACGGAATCCAGTGAGCATGTGATTGTCTCTAAACCCACCGTTCAAGTCCAAGCACCTCTCGTCACCGAGACCGCCTCATTGGAGTTACCCACACCTGAACCTGTTCGCAAAACATCACTAGTGGAAGCCACACAGTTCGTGAAACGTTCCACAGTCGACCAACAAATCGACACAGTACCAGTCTCCTCGTCCGACGTGGGTGCACAGACTGAGCCACACAAATCTCTACTCGACGGTGCTGCCCATTTGTCGTTGAAACGCACCGATGCGACGTCACAAGCCAAACCTGTCCAATTGTGCATGGTGGATTCTTGGAGTGAGATACATGCACCAGTGAAACCAGAGACACCAGTTGTTCCGGTCCACGAACCACCGAAACGCATCCAAACATTGGAAGCCTGTGTGCAGACGGTGAAGGAAAGTGTGTGTGTTGTGGATAGTGCGACCAGTGTGTTAATGAAGTCGCCGGAAAGTGTGCTTGATTCGGCTGCAGCTTTCGTGAAGAGACCGAGTGTGAATGCTGAAGTGCAAGTGGATAGGGTGAGCACACCGGTCGTCAGTCTGACCACACACAAGTTAGAACCGAAAATGGTCGAGAGGAGTCTGTGTACCAGCTGTGGACATCGGTACGTGAATACCGAAGAGATGGCTTGTCAGACCGTTCAGCCTAAGATCGAACCGGTTCCTGTGACTGTGAAGACGTCGAATGTCGCTATGCAGACCAGTAAGTTCTCAAGTCTCTGTCAGACATCCAGTGAAGTAGTGACACATGTGACACCGGCACCCTACGTCGAGTCATCACTATCCATGGCCATGAAGGTCGAGAAGCCAGTCACTCAGGACGTTGGAATGCAGTTCGGAATGCGTGTGGCCACGCGTGTCATGAGCTCTGGCTACCAGGTGCAACAGACCAGCAGCCACACACTGACGGAAGCAGTGGGAGTAGCAGAACGAGAAGTACAGGTGACTCAAACCGAACGACCAGTTGTGACCAGTGTGGATCACAGAGAAATGAAGACAGTGAAACCTGATCATATGATGTCAGTGAGTACCTCCTACGCAGAACCGCCTGTCAAACAGCCACCACCACGCCAACTGACTGACACTGCCACACAGGCGACCTCCGTTACCACACACGTCACGGAATCCAGTGAGCATGTGATTGTCTCTAAACCCACCGTTCAAGTCCAAGCACCTCTCGTCACCGAGACCGCCTCATTGGAGTTACCCACACCTGAACCTGTTCGCAAAACATCACTAGTGGAAGCCACACAGTTCGTGAAACGTTCCACAGTCGACCAACAAATCGACACAGTACCAGTCTCCTCGTCCGACGTGGGTGCACAGACTGAGCCACACAAATCTCTACTCGACGGTGCTGCCCATTTGTCGTTGAAACGCACCGATGCGACGTCACAAGCCAAACCTGTCCAATTGTGCATGGTGGATTCTTGGAGTGAGATACATGCACCAGTGAAACCAGAGACACCAGTTGTTCCGGTCCACGAACCACCGAAACGCATCCAAACATTGGAAGCCTGTGTGCAGACGGTGAAGGAAAGTGTGTGTGTTGTGGATAGTGCGACCAGTGTGTTAATGAAGTCGCCGGAAAGTGTGCTTGATTCGGCTGCAGCTTTCGTGAAGAGACCGAGTGTGAATGCTGAAGTGCAAGTGGATAGGGTGAGCACACCGGTCGTCAGTCTGACCACACACAAGTTAGAACCGAAAATGGTCGAGAGGAGTCTGTGTACCAGCTGTGGACATCGGTACGTGAATACCGAAGAGATGGCTTGTCAGACCGTTCAGCCTAAGATCGAACCGGTTCCTGTGACTGTGAAGACGTCGAATGTCGCTATGCAGACCAGTAAGTTCTCAAGTCTCTGTCAGACATCCAGTGAAGTAGTGACACATGTGACACCGGCACCCTACGTCGAGTCATCACTATCCATGGCCATGAAGGTCGAGAAGCCAGTCACTCAGGACGTTGGAATGCAGTTCGGAATGCGTGTGGCCACGCGTGTCATGAGCTCTGGCTACCAGGTGCAACAGACCAGCAGCCACACACTGACGGAAGCAGTGGGAGTAGCAGAACGAGAAGTACAGGTGACTCAAACCGAACGACCAGTTGTGACCAGTGTGGATCACAGAGAAATGAAGACAGTGAAACCTGATCATATGATGTCAGTGAGTACCTCCTACGCAGAACCGCCTGTCAAACAGCCACCACCACGCCAACTGACTGACACTGCCACACAGGCGACCTCCGTTACCACACACGTCACGGAATCCAGTGAGCATGTGATTGTCTCTAAACCCACCGTTCAAGTCCAAGCACCTCTCGTCACCGAGACCGCCTCATTGGAGTTACCCACACCTGAACCTGTTCGCAAAACATCACTAGTGGAAGCCACACAGTTCGTGAAACGTTCCACAGTCGACCAACTAATCGACACAATACCAGTCTCCTCGTCCGACGTGGGTGCACAGACTGAGCCACACAAATCTCTACTCGACGGTGCTGCCCATTTGTCGTTGAAACGCACCGATACGACGTCACAAGCCAAACCTGTCCAATTGTGCATGGTGGATTCTTGGAGTGAGATACATGCACCAGTGAAACCAGAGACACCAGTTGTTCCGGTCCACGAACCACCGAAACGCATCCAAACATTGGAAGCCTGTGTGCAGACGGTGAAGGAAAGTGTGTGTGTTGTGGATAGTGCGACCAGTGTGTTAATGAAGTCGCCGGAAAGTGTGCTTGATTCGGCTGCAGCTTTCGTGAAGAGACCGAGTGTGAATGCTGAAGTGCAAGTGGATAGGGTGAGCACACCGGTCGTCAGTCTGACCACACACAAGTTAGAACCGAAAATGGTCGAGAGGAGTCTGTGTACCAGCTGTGGACATCGGTACGTGAATACCGAAGAGATGGCTTGTCAGACCGTTCAGCCTAAGATCGAACCGGTTCCTGTGACTGTGAAGACGTCGAATGTCGCTATGCAGACCAGTAAGTTCTCAAGTCTCTGTCAGACATCCAGTGAAGTAGTGACACATGTGACACCGGCACCCTACGTCGAGTCATCACTATCCATGGCCATGAAGGTCGAGAAGCCAGTCACTCAGGACGTTGGAATGCAGTTCGGAATGCGTGTGGCCACGCGTGTCATGAGCTCTGGCTACCAGGTGCAACAGACCAGCAGCCACACACTGACGGAAGCAGTGGGAGTAGCAGAACGAGAAGTACAGGTGACTCAAACCGAACGACCAGTTGTGACCAGTGTGGATCACAGAGAAATGAAGACAGTGAAACCTGATCATATGATGTCAGTGAGTACCTCCTACGCAGAACCGCCTGTCAAACAGCCACCACCACGCCAACTGACTGACACTGCCACACAGGCGACCTCCGTTACCACACACGTCACGGAATCCAGTGAGCATGTGATTGTCTCTAAACCCACCGTTCAAGTCCAAGCACCTCTCGTCACCGAGACCGCCTCATTGGAGTTACCCACACCTGAACCTGTTCGCAAAACATCACTAGTGGAAGCCACACAGTTCGTGAAACGTTCCACAGTCGACCAACTAATCGACACAGTACCAGTCTCCTCGTCCGACGTGGGTGCACAGACTGAGCCACACAAATCTCTACTCGACGGTGCTGCCCATTTGTCGTTGAAACGCACCGATGCGACGTCACAAGCCAAACCTGTCCAATTGTGCATGGTGGATTCTTGGAGTGAGATACATGCACCAGTGAAACCAGAGACACCAGTTGTTCCGGTCCACGAACCACCGAAACGCATCCAAACATTGGAAGCCTGTGTGCAGACGGTGAAGGAAAGTGTGTGTGTTGTGGATAGTGCGACCAGTGTGTTAATGAAGTCGCCGGAAAGTGTGCTTGATTCGGCTGCAGCTTTCGTGAAGAGACCGAGTGTGAATGCTGAAGTGCAAGTGGATAGGGTGAGCACACCGGTCGTCAGTCTGACCACACACAAGTTAGAACCGAAAATGGTCGAGAGGAGTCTGTGTACCAGCTGTGGACATCGGTACGTGAATACCGAAGAGATGGCTTGTCAGACCGTTCAGCCTAAGATCGAACCGGTTCCTGTGACTGTGAAGACGTCGAATGTCGCTATGCAGACCAGTAAGTTCTCAAGTCTCTGTCAGACAACCAGTGAATTAGTGACACATGTGACACCGGCACCCTACGTCGAGTCATCACTATCCATGGCCATGAAGGTCGAGAAGCCAGTCACTCAGGACGTTGGAATGCAGTTCGGAATGCGTGTGGCCACGCGTGTCATGAGCTCTGGCTACCAGGTGCAACAGACCAGCAGCCACACACTGACGGAAGCAGTGGGAGTAGCAGAACGAGAAGTACAGGTGACTCAAACCGAACGACCAGTTGTGACCAGTGTGGATCACAGAGAAATGAAGACAGTGAAACCTGATCATATGATGTCAGTGAGTACCTCCTACGCAGAACCGCCTGTCAAACAGCCACCACCACGCCAACTGACTGACACTGCCACACAGGCGACCTCCGTTACCACACACGTCACGGAATCCAGTGAGCATGTGATTGTCTCTAAACCCACCGTTCAAGTCCAAGCACCTCTCGTCACCGAGACCGCCTCATTGGAGTTACCCACACCTGAACCTGTTCGCAAAACATCACTAGTGGAAGCCACACAGTTCGTGAAACGTTCCACAGTCGACCAACAAATCGACACAGTACCAGTCTCCTCGTCCGACGTGGGTGCACAGACTGAGCCACACAAATCTCTACTCGACGGTGCTGCCCATTTGTCGTTGAAACGCACCGATACGACGTCACAAGCCAAACCTGTCCAATTGTGCATGGTGGATTCTTGGAGTGAGATACATGCACCAGTGAAACCAGAGACACCAGTTGTTCCGGTCCACGAACCACCGAAACGCATCCAAACATTGGAAGCCTGTGTGCAGACGGTGAAGGAAAGTGTGTGTGTTGTGGATAGTGCGACCAGTGTGTTAATGAAGTCGCCGGAAAGTGTGCTTGATTCGGCTGCAGCTTTCGTGAAGAGACCGAGTGTGAATGCTGAAGTGCAAGTGGATAGGGTGAGCACACCGGTCGTCAGTCTGACCACACACAAGTTAGAACCGAAAATGGTCGAGAGGAGTCTGTGTACCAGCTGTGGACATCGGTACGTGAATACCGAAGAGATGGCTTGTCAGACCGTTCAGCCTAAGATCGAACCGGTTCCTGTGACTGTGAAGACGTCGAATGTCGCTATGCAGACCAGTAAGTTCTCAAGTCTCTGTCAGACAACCAGTGAAGTAGTGACACATGTGACACCGGCACCCTACGTCGAGTCATCACTATCCATGGCCATGAAGGTCGAGAAGCCAGTCACTCAGGACGTTGGAATGCAGTTCGGAATGCGTGTGGCCACGCGTGTCATGAGCTCTGGCTACCAGGTGCAACAGACCAGCAGCCACACACTGACGGAAGCAGTGGGAGTAGCAGAACGAGAAGTACAGGTGACTCAAACCGAACGACCAGTTGTGACCAGTGTGGATCACAGAGAAATGAAGACAGTGAAACCTGATCATATGATGTCAGTGAGTACCTCCTACGCAGAACCGCCTGTCAAACAGCCACCACCACGCCAACTGACTGACACTGCCACACAGGCGACCTCCGTTACCACACACGTCACGGAATCCAGTGAGCATGTGATTGTCTCTAAACCCACCGTTCAAGTCCAAGCACCTCTCGTCACCGAGACCGCCTCATTGGAGTTACCCACACCTGAACCTGTTCGCAAAACATCACTAGTGGAAGCCACACAGTTCGTGAAACGTTCCACAGTCGACCAACTAATCGACACAGTACCAGTCTCCTCGTCCGACGTGGGTGCACAGACTGAGCCACACAAATCTCTACTCGACGGTGCTGCCCATTTGTCGTTGAAACGCACCGATGCGACGTCACAAGCCAAACCTGTCCAATTGTGCATGGTGGATTCTTGGAGTGAGATACATGCACCAGTGAAACCAGAGACACCAGTTGTTCCGGTCCACGAACCACCGAAACGCATCCAAACATTGGAAGCCTGTGTGCAGACGGTGAAGGAAAGTGTGTGTGTTGTGGATAGTGCGACCAGTGTGTTAATGAAGTCGCCGGAAAGTGTGCTTGATTCGGCTGCAGCTTTCGTGAAGAGACCGAGTGTGAATGCTGAAGTGCAAGTGGATAGGGTGAGCACACCGGTCGTCAGTCTGACCACACACAAGTTAGAACCGAAAATGGTCGAGAGGAGTCTGTGTACCAGCTGTGGACATCGGTACGTGAATACCGAAGAGATGGCTTGTCAGACCGTTCAGCCTAAGATCGAACCGGTTCCTGTGACTGTGAAGACGTCGAATGTCGCTATGCAGACCAGTAAGTTCTCAAGTCTCTGTCAGACATCCAGTGAAGTAGTGACACATGTGACACCGGCACCCTACGTCGAGTCATCACTATCCATGGCCATGAAGGTCGAGAAGCCAGTCACTCAGGACGTTGGAATGCAGTTCGGAATGCGTGTGGCCACGCGTGTCATGAGCTCTGGCTACCAGGTGCAACAGACCAGCAGCCACACACTGACGGAAGCAGTGGGAGTAGCAGAACGAGAAGTACAGGTGACTCAAACCGAACGACCAGTTGTGACCAGTGTGGATCACAGAGAAATGAAGACAGTGAAACCTGATCATATGATGTCAGTGAGTACCTCCTACGCAGAACCGCCTGTCAAACAGCCACCACCACGCCAACTGACTGACACTGCCACACAGGCGACCTCCGTTACCACACACGTCACGGAATCCAGTGAGCATGTGATTGTCTCTAAACCCACCGTTCAAGTCCAAGCACCTCTCGTCACCGAGACCGCCTCATTGGAGTTACCCACACCTGAACCTGTTCGCAAAACATCACTAGTGGAAGCCACACAGTTCGTGAAACGTTCCACAGTCGACCAACAAATCGACACAGTACCAGTCTCCTCGTCCGACGTGGGTGCACAGACTGAGCCACACAAATCTCTACTCGACGGTGCTGCCCATTTGTCGTTGAAACGCACCGATGCGACGTCACAAGCCAAACCTGTCCAATTGTGCATGGTGGATTCTTGGAGTGAGATACATGCACCAGTGAAACCAGAGACACCAGTTGTTCCGGTCCACGAACCACCGAAACGCATCCAAACATTGGAAGCCTGTGTGCAGACGGTGAAGGAAAGTGTGTGTGTTGTGGATAGTGCGACCAGTGTGTTAATGAAGTCGCCGGAAAGTGTGCTTGATTCGGCTGCAGCTTTCGTGAAGAGACCGAGTGTGAATGCTGAAGTGCAAGTGGATAGGGTGAGCACACCGGTCGTCAGTCTGACCACACACAAGTTAGAACCGAAAATGGTCGAGAGGAGTCTGTGTACCAGCTGTGGACATCGGTACGTGAATACCGAAGAGATGGCTTGTCAGACCGTTCAGCCTAAGATCGAACCGGTTCCTGTGACTGTGAAGACGTCGAATGTCGCTATGCAGACCAGTAAGTTCTCAAGTCTCTGTCAGACATCCAGTGAATTAGTGACACATGTGACACCGGCACCCTACGTCGAGTCATCACTATCCATGGCCATGAAGGTCGAGAAGCCAGTCACTCAGGACGTTGGAATGCAGTTCGGAATGCGTGTGGCCACGCGTGTCATGAGCTCTGGCTACCAGGTGCAACAGACCAGCAGCCACACACTGACGGAAGCAGTGGGAGTAGCAGAACGAGAAGTACAGGTGACTCAAACCGAACGACCAGTTGTGACCAGTGTGGATCACAGAGAAATGAAGACAGTGAAACCTGATCATATGATGTCAGTGAGTACCTCCTACGCAGAACCGCCTGTCAAACAGCCACCACCACGCCAACTGACTGACACTGCCACACAGGCGACCTCCGTTACCACACACGTCACGGAATCCAGTGAGCATGTGATTGTCTCTAAACCCACCGTTCAAGTCCAAGCACCTCTCGTCACCGAGACCGCCTCATTGGAGTTACCCACACCTGAACCTGTTCGCAAAACATCACTAGTGGAAGCCACACAGTTCGTGAAACGTTCCACAGTCGACCAACTAATCGACACAATACCAGTCTCCTCGTCCGACGTGGGTGCACAGACTGAGCCACACAAATCTCTACTCGACGGTGCTGCCCATTTGTCGTTGAAACGCACCGATACGACGTCACAAGCCAAACCTGTCCAATTGTGCATGGTGGATTCTTGGAGTGAGATACATGCACCAGTGAAACCAGAGACACCAGTTGTTCCGGTCCACGAACCACCGAAACGCATCCAAACATTGGAAGCCTGTGTGCAGACGGTGAAGGAAAGTGTGTGTGTTGTGGATAGTGCGACCAGTGTGTTAATGAAGTCGCCGGAAAGTGTGCTTGATTCGGCTGCAGCTTTCGTGAAGAGACCGAGTGTGAATGCTGAAGTGCAAGTGGATAGGGTGAGCACACCGGTCGTCAGTCTGACCACACACAAGTTAGAACCGAAAATGGTCGAGAGGAGTCTGTGTACCAGCTGTGGACATCGGTACGTGAATACCGAAGAGATGGCTTGTCAGACCGTTCAGCCTAAGATCGAACCGGTTCCTGTGACTGTGAAGACGTCGAATGTCGCTATGCAGACCAGTAAGTTCTCAAGTCTCTGTCAGACAACCAGTGAAGTAGTGACACATGTGACACCGGCACCCTACGTCGAGTCATCACTATCCATGGCCATGAAGGTCGAGAAGCCAGTCACTCAGGACGTTGGAATGCAGTTCGGAATGCGTGTGGCCACGCGTGTCATGAGCTCTGGCTACCAGGTGCAACAGACCAGCAGCCACACACTGACGGAAGCAGTGGGAGTAGCAGAACGAGAAGTACAGGTGACTCAAACCGAACGACCAGTTGTGACCAGTGTGGATCACAGAGAAATGAAGACAGTGAAACCTGATCATATGATGTCAGTGAGTACCTCCTACGCAGAACCGCCTGTCAAACAGCCACCACCACGCCAACTGACTGACACTGCCACACAGGCGACCTCCGTTACCACACACGTCACGGAATCCAGTGAGCATGTGATTGTCTCTAAACCCACCGTTCAAGTCCAAGCACCTCTCGTCACCGAGACCGCCTCATTGGAGTTACCCACACCTGAACCTGTTCGCAAAACATCACTAGTGGAAGCCACACAGTTCGTGAAACGTTCCACAGTCGACCAACAAATCGACACAGTACCAGTCTCCTCGTCCGACGTGGGTGCACAGACTGAGCCACACAAATCTCTACTCGACGGTGCTGCCCATTTGTCGTTGAAACGCACCGATGCGACGTCACAAGCCAAACCTGTCCAATTGTGCATGGTGGATTCTTGGAGTGAGATACATGCACCAGTGAAACCAGAGACACCAGTTGTTCCGGTCCACGAACCACCGAAACGCATCCAAACATTGGAAGCCTGTGTGCAGACGGTGAAGGAAAGTGTGTGTGTTGTGGATAGTGCGACCAGTGTGTTAATGAAGTCGCCGGAAAGTGTGCTTGATTCGGCTGCAGCTTTCGTGAAGAGACCGAGTGTGAATGCTGAAGTGCAAGTGGATAGGGTGAGCACACCGGTCGTCAGTCTGACCACACACAAGTTAGAACCGAAAATGGTCGAGAGGAGTCTGTGTACCAGCTGTGGACATCGGTACGTGAATACCGAAGAGATGGCTTGTCAGACCGTTCAGCCTAAGATCGAACCGGTTCCTGTGACTGTGAAGACGTCGAATGTCGCTATGCAGACCAGTAAGTTCTCAAGTCTCTGTCAGACAACCAGTGAAGTAGTGACACATGTGACACCGGCACCCTACGTCGAGTCATCACTATCCATGGCCATGAAGGTCGAGAAGCCAGTCACTCAGGACGTTGGAATGCAGTTCGGAATGCGTGTGGCCACGCGTGTCATGAGCTCTGGCTACCAGGTGCAACAGACCAGCAGCCACACACTGACGGAAGCAGTGGGAGTAGCAGAACGAGAAGTACAGGTGACTCAAACCGAACGACCAGTTGTGACCAGTGTGGATCACAGAGAAATGAAGACAGTGAAACCTGATCATATGATGTCAGTGAGTACCTCCTACGCAGAACCGCCTGTCAAACAGCCACCACCACGCCAACTGACTGACACTGCCACACAGGCGACCTCCGTTACCACACACGTCACGGAATCCAGTGAGCATGTGATTGTCTCTAAACCCACCGTTCAAGTCCAAGCACCTCTCGTCACCGAGACCGCCTCATTGGAGTTACCCACACCTGAACCTGTTCGCAAAACATCACTAGTGGAAGCCACACAGTTCGTGAAACGTTCCACAGTCGACCAACAAATCGACACAGTACCAGTCTCCTCGTCCGACGTGGGTGCACAGACTGAGCCACACAAATCTCTACTCGACGGTGCTGCCCATTTGTCGTTGAAACGCACCGATGCGACGTCACAAGCCAAACCTGTCCAATTGTGCATGGTGGATTCTTGGAGTGAGATACATGCACCAGTGAAACCAGAGACACCAGTTGTTCCGGTCCACGAACCACCGAAACGCATCCAAACATTGGAAGCCTGTGTGCAGACGGTGAAGGAAAGTGTGTGTGTTGTGGATAGTGCGACCAGTGTGTTAATGAAGTCGCCGGAAAGTGTGCTTGATTCGGCTGCAGCTTTCGTGAAGAGACCGAGTGTGAATGCTGAAGTGCAAGTGGATAGGGTGAGCACACCGGTCGTCAGTCTGACCACACACAAGTTAGAACCGAAAATGGTCGAGAGGAGTCTGTGTACCAGCTGTGGACATCGGTACGTGAATACCGAAGAGATGGCTTGTCAGACCGTTCAGCCTAAGATCGAACCGGTTCCTGTGACTGTGAAGACGTCGAATGTCGCTATGCAGACCAGTAAGTTCTCAAGTCTCTGTCAGACATCCAGTGAATTAGTGCCACATGCGACACCGGCACCCTACGTCGAGTCATCACTATCCATGGCCATGAAGGTCGAGAAGCCAGTCACTCAGGACGTTGGAATGCAGTTCGGAATGCGTGTGGCCACGCGTGTCATGAGCTCTGGCTACCAGGTGCAACAGACCAGCAGCCACACACTGACGGAAGCAGTGGGAGTAGCAGAACGAGAAGTACAGGTGACTCAAACCGAACGACCAGTTGTGACCAGTGTGGATCACAGAGAAATGAAGACAGTGAAACCTGATCATATGATGTCAGTGAGTACCTCCTACGCAGAACCGCCTGTCAAACAGCCACCACCACGCCAACTGACTGACACTGCCACACAGGCGACCTCCGTTACCACACACGTCACGGAATCCAGTGAGCATGTGATTGTCTCTAAACCCACCGTTCAAGTCCAAGCACCTCTCGTCACCGAGACCGCCTCATTGGAGTTACCCACACCTGAACCTGTTCGCAAAACATCACTAGTGGAAGCCACACAGTTCGTGAAACGTTCCACAGTCGACCAACAAATCGACACAATACCAGTCTCCTCGTCCGACGTGGGTGCACAGACTGAGCCACACAAATCTCTACTCGACGGTGCTGCCCATTTGTCGTTGAAACGCACCGATGCGACGTCACAAGCCAAACCTGTCCAATTGTGCATGGTGGATTCTTGGAGTGTGATACATGCACCAGTGAAACCAGAGACACCAGTTGTTCCGGTCCACGAACCACCGAAACGCATCCAAACATTGGAAGCCTGTGTGCAGACGGTGAAGGAAAGTGTGTGTGTTGTGGATAGTGCGACCAGTGTGTTAATGAAGTCGCCGGAAAGTGTGCTTGATTCGGCTGCAGCTTTCGTGAAGAGACCGAGTGTGAATGCTGAAGTGCAAGTGGATAGGGTGAGCACACCGGTCGTCAGTCTGACCACACACAAGTTAGAACCGAAAATGGTCGAGAGGAGTCTGTGTACCAGCTGTGGACATCGGTACGTGAATACCGAAGAGATGGCTTGTCAGACCGTTCAGCCTAAGATCGAACCGGTTCCTGTGACTGTGAAGACGTCGAATGTCGCTATGCAGACCAGTAAGTTCTCAAGTCTCTGTCAGACATCCAGTGAATTAGTGACACATGTGACACCGGCACCCTACGTCGAGTCATCACTATCCATGGCCATGAAGGTCGAGAAGCCAGTCACTCAGGACGTTGGAATGCAGTTCGGAATGCGTGTGGCCACGCGTGTCATGAGCTCTGGCTACCAGGTGCAACAGACCAGCAGCCACACACTGACGGAAGCAGTGGGAGTAGCAGAACGAGAAGTACAGGTGACTCAAACCGAACGACCAGTTGTGACCAGTGTGGATCACAGAGAAATGAAGACAGTGAAACCTGATCATATGATGTCAGTGAGTACCTCCTACGCAGAACCGCCTGTCAAACAGCCACCACCACGCCAACTGACTGACACTGCCACACAGGCGACCTCCGTTACCACACACGTCACGGAATCCAGTGAGCATGTGATTGTCTCTAAACCCACCGTTCAAGTCCAAGCACCTCTCGTCACCGAGACCGCCTCATTGGAGTTACCCACACCTGAACCTGTTCGCAAAACATCACTAGTGGAAGCCACACAGTTCGTGAAACGTTCCACAGTCGACCAACAAATCGACACAGTACCAGTCTCCTCGTCCGACGTGGGTGCACAGACTGAGCCACACAAATCTCTACTCGACGGTGCTGCCCATTTGTCGTTGAAACGCACCGATGCGACGTCACAAGCCAAACCTGTCCAATTGTGCATGGTGGATTCTTGGAGTGAGATACATGCACCAGTGAAACCAGAGACACCAGTTGTTCCGGTCCACGAACCACCGAAACGCATCCAAACATTGGAAGCCTGTGTGCAGACGGTGAAGGAAAGTGTGTGTGTTGTGGATAGTGCGACCAGTGTGTTAATGAAGTCGCCGGAAAGTGTGCTTGATTCGGCTGCAGCTTTCGTGAAGAGACCGAGTGTGAATGCTGAAGTGCAAGTGGATAGGGTGAGCACACCGGTCGTCAGTCTGACCACACACAAGTTAGAACCGAAAATGGTCGAGAGGAGTCTGTGTACCAGCTGTGGACATCGGTACGTGAATACCGAAGAGATGGCTTGTCAGACCGTTCAGCCTAAGATCGAACCGGTTCCTGTGACTGTGAAGACGTCGAATGTCGCTATGCAGACCAGTAAGTTCTCAAGTCTCTGTCAGACATCCAGTGAATTAGTGACACATGCGACACCGGCACCCTACGTCGAGTCATCACTATCCATGGCCATGAAGGTCGAGAAGCCAGTCACTCAGGACGTTGGAATGCAGTTCGGAATGCGTGTGGCCACGCGTGTCATGAGCTCTGGCTACCAGGTGCAACAGACCAGCAGCCACACACTGACGGAAGCAGTGGGAGTAGCAGAACGAGAAGTACAGGTGACTCAAACCGAACGACCAGTTGTGACCAGTGTGGATCACAGAGAAATGAAGACAGTGAAACCTGATCATATGATGTCAGTGAGTACCTCCTACGCAGAACCGCCTGTCAAACAGCCACCACCACGCCAACTGACTGACACTGCCACACAGGCGACCTCCGTTACCACACACGTCACGGAATCCAGTGAGCATGTGATTGTCTCTAAACCCACCGTTCAAGTCCAAGCACCTCTCGTCACCGAGACCGCCTCATTGGAGTTACCCACACCTGAACCTGTTCGCAAAACATCACTAGTGGAAGCCACACAGTTCGTGAAACGTTCCACAGTCGACCAACAAATCGACACAGTACCAGTCTCCTCGTCCGACGTGGGTGCACAGACTGAGCCACACAAATCTCTACTCGACGGTGCTGCCCATTTGTCGTTGAAACGCACCGATGCGACGTCACAAGCCAAACCTGTCCAATTGTGCATGGTGGATTCTTGGAGTGTGATACATGCACCAGTGAAACCAGAGACACCAGTTGTTCCGGTCCACGAACCACCGAAACGCATCCAAACATTGGAAGCCTGTGTGCAGACGGTGAAGGAAAGTGTGTGTGTTGTGGATAGTGCGACCAGTGTGTTAATGAAGTCGCCGGAAAGTGTGCTTGATTCGGCTGCAGCTTTCGTGAAGAGACCGAGTGTGAATGCTGAAGTGCAAGTGGATAGGGTGAGCACACCGGTCGTCAGTCTGACCACACACAAGTTAGAACCGAAAATGGTCGAGAGGAGTCTGTGTACCAGCTGTGGACATCGGTACGTGAATACCGAAGAGATGGCTTGTCAGACCGTTCAGCCTAAGATCGAACCGGCTCCTGTGACTGTGAAGACGTCGAATGTCGCTATGCAGACCAGTAAGTTCTCAAGTCTCTGTCAGACATCCAGTGAATTAGTGCCACATGCGACACCGGCACCCTACGTCGAGTCATCACTATCCATGGCCATGAAGGTCGAGAAGCCAGTCACTCAGGACGTTGGAATGCAGTTCGGAATGCGTGTGGCCACGCGTGTCATGAGCTCTGGCTACCAGGTGCAACAGACCAGCAGCCACACACTGACGGAAGCAGTGGGAGTAGCAGAACGAGAAGTACAGGTGACTCAAACCGAACGACCAGTTGTGACCAGTGTGGATCACAGAGAAATGAAGACAGTGAAACCTGATCATATGATGTCAGTGAGTACCTCCTACGCAGAACCGCCTGTCAAACAGCCACCACCACGCCAACTGACTGACACTGCCACACAGGCGACCTCCGTTACCACACACGTCACGGAATCCAGTGAGCATGTGATTGTCTCTAAACCCACCGTTCAAGTCCAAGCACCTCTCGTCACCGAGACCGCCTCATTGGAGTTACCCACACCTGAACCTGTTCGCAAAACATCACTAGTGGAAGCCACACAGTTCGTGAAACGTTCCACAGTCGACCAACAAATCGACACAGTACCAGTCTCCTCGTCCGACGTGGGTGCACAGACTGAGCCACACAAATCTCTACTCGACGGTGCTGCCCATTTGTCGTTGAAACGCACCGATGCGACGTCACAAGCCAAACCTGTCCAATTGTGCATGGTGGATTCTTGGAGTGAGATACATGCACCAGTGAAACCAGAGACACCAGTTGTTCCGGTCCACGAACCACCGAAACGCATCCAAACATTGGAAGCCTGTGTGCAGACGGTGAAGGAAAGTGTGTGTGTTGTGGACAGTTGTACTGGTGTGGTGAATAAATCGGTTAAATTTTCACCGGCTTCTACGAATGATGTTTTTGATTCGATGCCTTCCTCTTCTTTTGATATTTCTGTTTCTGCTACACCTTCGCTGTCTGATTGTTGGTCTCAATGTAATTTGTCATCTATTTTAAGACATCTGATTGTTGATAGTTTCGTGAATTTTAATCTGCCTGAATCCGTATCATCTCCACTTGTTGATTCTTGTTGTATAATGGTCTTTGGTTGCTCCTCTGTAGGAACTTTAACTGAGCCATTAAAGCCTGTTCCTCGTGAGCTGAAAAGTCCGAACTTAATTGACGCGTCTGTATTCTTCCTTGTTGATCCTGATTATTTGTCTTCAACAATTCAGGACGAAGATGTCCCTCTTGACTCTGGAGACCTTGAATGGGAGTTAGTTGACGATAATTTGAAAGAACTACACCGTTGTTTGGTGAATAGTTGTGTGCAAACTGAAGAGTCAAATATTTATAGGCCTAATTCTCAAAGAGAACACCCTCCTTCCCTACCTGTTAGCCAATTGCCTACCGTCAACAGGAAAAACTTTTCAGTCCAGTATATTTATGAGCCTGCTCAAGAAAATGCATGCTGTCAAACCCAACCCATGACCTCTGATAAAATTCAAAAACAGATCATTATCGATAATCTAGATGCTGAAACCATGACTGAAGATATAGAGTCAAATGTTGCCGTCTTACTTCAAAACGTAAGTTCTACTGACATCAGAGAACGTTTAATTGAACGTTATTACTATTCTGCACCATGCAGTGCCATGCTTGTGACTGATGCTGAAGTTCAAGTCAACCTGACTGGTTCAGTTTATAAAGGACACTCAAAAGAATTCTACGTAAAAGACATTTCTACAGACTATATTGTTGAGCGTCATATGGAAAATGAAAATATAATACTAGAAGAATCGAGTGGACATGATGACAGTGAACAAACTGTGTCAGGCACATCATATTCGCGATACATGAAGCGCTTGCTTCATGAAAGTGGTGTAACTGAAGTTTGGGAAAAATGTCCCCCAACGCATTCTGTCTTTGATTATTATCAAAACCGTCGTGAGTTTGGGTCGGTACGTGAGCAGGCCTCTATGGCCATGGAAGAGCCCGTTACAGCAGCAGATGTTGGCATTCAAATTGTATTCGATTCATTTTCACATAGTTCACCGTCTGAATCCGAAATATCAAGATCTGAATCCCCGCTTAGTGGATCAAGTTACACTTATGAAGCATATTTGATGCGCTCCAGACTAGGACAAGTATGTGAAGTCCAGTGTCAATTCTGTCCTACACATATACCAACAGCGTCCCAAACGGATCATTACGGAATTTCTATGCAGACTGAAAGACATGACAAATTAAAAGAGGATATTTTTGAAATTTATCAAAGAAGACTCATAAAAGATCAAATTGCAGAAGCATGGACTCAAGTTGAACAAGATTTGTACACAGAATCTCGAATGGAAGAAGTTAGTGAACCTATCGACGTAATCGAAGAACGTATTTTGGAGATAACGGAGAAGAAAAGTAAAAAAGTTTATAGTCAAATAAAAATTACGGAGGAATTCACAGAAGAGGAGGATTTGATTGTTTGTGAATTGGGTGTGCAAACAGATCCGTTCTATGATCAGCAATACTTTATCAAAGCAAAACAAAGTCATTCTTCAATAGATTTTCGTGAAGAAAGTCCTAGACGTTTAATTACTACGGGTATTCAGACATCAGTAATTCACCTGGCCAGTATTATCTCTTCAGGTGACATAGCATGGGCTGATGAGGATCTGTGTGAAGTAATTAAGGCAGGCATCAGATTGCTTGGATCTGATGAGCATAAGAGTGAAGATATATCTGTGTCAAAATATGCGTCTCACCAACTAAATATTTGCGCTAGATTACCAACTGATTCTAATGAAAAGGTGCTTATTAGTAGCGGCACACAAGTAATTCCTATGGAATCAGATCTCGAGAAAAAGTTCCAGAAGGAATGGCAATCAGAACCCATCTCTTTCCATGAATCTGCAGAACCCTTCCAATCTGATGATATTGTAGGAAAAGTTGGAACGCTTACAGAAGAAGCCCACCACATGTGAGTTTTGAAGCCATGTTATATTACTGTATGAAATACTGTTTAGAATAGAAGTCACTTGTCTCAAAGGCAAATAGTAGCAACATGGAAATACCTTCTAATGATATAGCTTTAACACTAGCGATTAATTCGGTTTGTTGAACGGTACCGACAGGAACTCATGAAATAAGGTTTTATGATGTCTAACTTTGCGAACTTATGTTTACTCAAACACTAAAACTTAAGTTACACAGTGCCCCAACCAAAAATGTTACAAATAAGTCAGTTGATATATAAATAAACTCTTATAGAATTATATTGATGTTGTCCAAATTCTGTCAACTAGGTTTGTAGCACAACATAGAAACACTACAAATAATATAAATGTTACTTGTTTAAAATTAATCTTTTCAAATAGTTTTGTTACAAATTCCATCAAAGAAATGGCAGTCAGCACTTACGTTTAAGTAAAACTCATCTACTACAACAAGGTTAATAATTTATAACTTGTCTGATGTATTTTTCTTTAATTTACTAGTTTGATTAACTTGATCATGTAGTTTACACTCCGCCTGGAGCCCCTTTGGGGCTACTGCCGGTCCGAAGCCCATCTAAAGTCAGGAGGGTTGGTCATGGGGTTAGCGACTTGATCCCGTAGAAAGCTAACTAGCTAAAAACACGTTAACCAGATTATTTTAAAATTGATTCTTATAAACTTGTTTCATTAGTAATAACTATTCAAAAAAAAATTTTACGTATGTTTATTTACCTAAGAAGAGTTTATCTAACAGACAACTTTAAAATGACATCAATTCTCACTTATTAAGTTGTCTAAGTTAGTTATTTCAAAAGAATTGGAAAACTTAAAGCAAATACATTAAGTTAAAACTGATAATACAGATAGCCAGTATCATTTGTTTCCAACTGTTTATTATGTAAATAATAGTCAGTCAGATTCAGAGTCTTTAAACCTTCAAAAGAAATAACTACAGTGATCTTTTCTTTTAAAAAAAACTGAGTTCAAAAGAAATATATAATCAAGCCTAATAAGTCAGTACTAATCCTAACAATAAAGTGAACCTAACTTCACTGTTATAATTGTAACCTTCCACTTTGCTATAATTATTTACATATCTTGATATTATTATCACTAGTCTCTCAGATATAAAGAATTTCATTAACATTCACCTCATATTAATAATTCTTGCTTAGTTCATATCATTTATTATATTGCAGAATCCTTAACCAAAGAATCAACTTGATTGTAAAAATAGATTATTATTTTTTTCACTATATTCTATCTCTATTCATTCTGATCAATTCAGTGCTTCCAGGTTTTTCATGGTGGTCTTGTTTCAGTTGACTCATGATCTCAACTATTGAAATCATTAATTACTTTAATTAAAAATGATTTGTATTTGATATTTTTGACTGAAATATGATCAGTTTTAGTTGGCATATAAGCATCCTGTGCGGATTACCTCGGTATTATTATTATGACTGGTTGATATAAAATAGATGGAATGTGACTATCAATGGAATCAAAAATACGCTTTTCATTCTCTTTGGGACTTATCAGCTAGTAAAAAATTTCCAAATGTATATATCTTTTGTGAATTATATGGAATTATGTAGAGTAATATCTAGGCTCATGACTTTTCTTGTCTATTTCGTTTTGTAGTAAACTAATCCATGTATATGTATATGACTATATGATCCCTTTATTAGTATAAAATAATATTTATCATTGATATCTGAATCTTTAAGTAAATTAAATTCATTCATCACTTATGTATTCATTAATCTACTATGATTGTTGTTTTCATAATTCTGAGGTTAAATGGTTGTAGATGGTCGACAGAAAACCCTGAACCTAAGTATCTTGCTTGTTAACACCCGTCAGTAAAGCGTACTTACTATCTTTGGACAACAGACACTACCTAAGGGATAAGAATGTATCACAACTCAGTTTCACAGTCTGAGACGCTATCATTTCGGTACTTCGACAGCAGCCTTCCATCATTAGGAATGAAATATTTACAACTGTTTGATGAATGCGTAAAAACTAATCTCACGTTTATCCTAGTCCTTTAGTGCTGATCGGATTGTGCATTATCAACCTTTATAGCTTCTCATGGTTACTTAGTCAATACTTATTTATTGCAAAAATTACTATAGTCATCAAGTAATTAAAACCTTATTTTTCAAAAAACGCAACAAAATGCTGTATAACTGAATAATCCAAAAGTATTTAATAGAATGATTATTAGTTAGGTTGTTAAAAAGGATTTTTTCTATTTGAAGCTAATTTTCGCCATGAACTAACATCAGTTTTGAAGCGTTGATATTATGTTTCATGGCTTTTCATTGATCGTACCTACATTTATTAAAGTTAGATAGGAATTGGCGATAGAAAATATGAGGTGTGTTTCGATCTACCTAAGACTGGTCAGCTTGATATATCTGATACCTCCCAGTATTGATGTCTACTCAGAGACTCAAATTTATTATCGTTGGGATTTAAATATCAACATGTTATTTACCAATCTCGATCACTTGTATACCTCAAGATCAAAAACTACGAAATAAAAACGTTCACAAGTAAGATTCGTACGAACTGAACAAGCTAGCAGCTATACAGAGACAGTAGCTCAATGGAAAGTTCATTGAAGTCCTGATATAATTGACTTTAAAAATTCCGGACGATATTTCACATTTCCGTTTTCAATCATGAAATGTTCATTAATAACTGAGTTTAATAATAAAGACTATTCAAACTAGTTACAACTCATATATTGATGTCGGTATAAACCAAAAACCAAAACATTTAAATGAGTATATAAAATATAAAAGTGTTGGTTCACTTGTAGTTAGTTTATTCTCAAACTTCCTGGGGTATTATGATGTTAAAATGATAATTTAAAGGACATTGATTCTAGTCTGATCATGACTCTAATTTCGCTTATAAAACTCCTATAGTTATGAAAATAAGTAAATATTAAATTAGTTTATATTCAATACGCTAATATTCTTCAAGAAATTGTTCATATTACTCACTAATGTGAGTTGGAGAATTGATGAAAACCATAGTGAACTGAAAATGAGTGTCTTGCTCTTGTTTAAGACTTCACATCAGTGTAATGTATTAAATCTGTATTTGATAAAAGAGTTTTGTTTAAACATATTAATTTTCACATTATTTTTTATTTTATTGTACAGGTCGAAAATTTTAGTTCAACTACGTCAACGAACATTACAGTATGAATTATTCGAATCACAATATTCAACATCATGTATACAATGGAATAATATCCGTGAAGTGGCCAGTCCAAGAACAGGATTATTTGCACCAGTTGCAATGGCAATAAGAAGAGGATGGATTCGACTTGGTGAAACCAATGAATATGTGGATCCAATGACCGGAGTTGCTATTCCACTAGAAACGGCTTATCAACAAGGACGTATACGATTAACTAGTTCATCAAGTCATTATGATAGAAATGTTATAACAAATACACCTGTATTACTATTAATTGAACGAGTATACTTTAGTTGGTGCAAAGCCTATTTAACAAGCGTTGTTAATACGGCTACAGGAGAAGTACTATCACCCAATTTAGCAATAGCAAATGGTATACTTGAAACAACGGAAGATGAAATACGCCTATTAGATAGTTTAACAAATACATGGATTACTATAGAAGAAGGTGCTGGTAGACAAATAATACAATTAGAACCATCAACTCCCACAACAGAATCTATGGAAGATGAATTAGATGAGCCAGTTAGCTGTAAAGTTTATCAACTCACTCATGTTTGTCCTGGTGGTGAACCATCTCCTTGGTTAGGTCCATTAGAAGCTGTACGTTTGGGATTATTAAATTGGGAAACTGGTGAAGTTGCTGCTGATTGGCCAGCAAGACCAATGTTACGTAGTATGAATTCTACAGGGCATTTATCATCGGAAGATTTTATTCCAACTAAATGGTGTAGTTTTCTAACTGCAAAACAAGCTGGTTGGTTAAGATTTATTGAAGAAATAGAACCACAACGGTATATAACAACATCAGGTACGCCAAATAAAGAGCCAGGATCACTTCTATTATCAACACAAGTAAATCTTTTAGCTCCATCTCAAGTATCATTAAATTATGAACAAGATGATATTGAAGAAAATTATCCTCATCGACCTAATCAATATCATCATGAATTCAATATACCAAGAACTAGATCAGATGATGTTTTTACAACTAGAAATATAAGTACATCTAACTTATATCATCCAATTAATGTATTACCTGATACTAGAAGTGTATCATGTACTCGAATTGATATAACATCACCATTATATAATGATTATAAATTAATTCCATCACAAGTAAGACATGAAAATGATGAACATTCATGGACAAGTGAAACACAAATATGGGAAGAATATCAAGAGACTTCATCAAGAACCATTTCACCTGATAATGCAAGACGTCATCAATAAATGTTTATTTTTTATTTTGATAATAAATAAGTAAATCAAAGGAGAAATCTACACTCTTTTAATATGTTACAATCATGTTTTAAAAAGAAAAAGAAAAATAGACACATTCCAGTACATTTCCATCATCACCAACACTTCTATGCCCTTTTAGTGATTATGAAACCTTTTATTATTTGTTATTGTGTTTTTTTTTATGTAAAAGAAAATAAAATATTAATTGAACAATGGAATAAAATAAGACATTAGTAAAACAAATCTGTTTATACATAGAAATTGTAACTAAAGCAAACAATACTACTACTACTACTGCTACTACTATTATTATTATTGCTACTACTAGCTATTATTGCTGCTAATACTAGTTAATCAGAAAACATTTAAATAACTAACTCATTTATGCACATTCAAATTGTGATTCTCTTCTTGTTTTTTTTTTGTTTGTTTGTTCATTTGTTTTGTTTTTTTTTGGATCGTTTTTGTTTTCACACTTTCGTTTTCATTTATCTGGGTACATGTATAACTACACATATCTATACACACACATACACCCACACACACACAGAAATACACATTCATAAATATAAATGAGCACAATGTACTTTCGTATAAGAAAGATTTTGTGTTACTTTTTCGTTTTGTATTAATAGTATATAAGTATAAATGGCTATTTACTCTATGCTGTTCTATTTTGTTTAATTAGTACATAGATTAATGATTCGTTCATTTACAGTGAGATTTGAATGTATGGTGTGAACGTGTAATAGTATTTCAAGTGCTACTTATTATAGTGGAAAGCAAAAGATGTATGCAGTTTGAAGAACTCTTTCATTTAATTGATCATCAATATGTAGTCAATTCATAACCATTTTGATTCTATTAAATTAAAATACAGAAACGACAACCAATTTCTACATAATTTTTGATGGAAAAGAAATCAGTTGCATATAGTTGGTTGCTAATTATTGTAACTTAGTTATCGAAACCAGGACCATATACTCAACTATGAGTCATAACTTTATGTGTAAAGAATAGAGATCTTACTACCCAACTATCTAAATATGGTATCTGAACTATCCAATCAATCCTTACCTTCTATGGGCTGATAAATAAACGGGTCACATAAGTTGTACACTGATCAATAGGTTTATTTTCCTATGATTAGACCAAACGTCTGATTATTATATGATTGCTAGACTATTACAAAGGTAGGTTCTACACTTCTATCCTGACCCGTAATTATAGAGCTAGTATTCTAAAAGTCTGAAGTTTTAATTTAAATATCACCTAGGCTCTATTTTGAAAACCAACATCATATTTTTATTTTCAATGTTAGAATGTAATTGCGAATCCCTTACCAGAAAATTTAACCAATTGGTGATTATTTGACTAAAAAATCATCGACCTACAAAGATAACTATACAATTAAATGTCTTACCTAGACACACTGTCTGCCTAAAATAAGCATTGATTCAAATCAAACCCAAATCTGTATGATATTGCACGCTATCTAGCTAGTATTTTTAAAATTCAGTAATTGACTCTCGAAACCTCTTCCATGATTTACGTTTGTGTACTCATCAAAAACCTTTTGTAATAATGGTAGTTAACGTATTTCAAGGTTTCATAGACTGCTAATTAATCGAATTTTACTTCGAAAACAATCTCTGCCTATTGGTTGTGCAATAAATATACTAATCTGTCAGGGAAGATTAACTAAACGTTTACAGTTTGGTTCTTTTACTTGGATTTTATAGATATAGTGAAAGCCAGAGCGGCTTATGCCAATCTGGGCCATCTATGGCGCCTTCGTGATGTTAGTCTGGCCGTAAAAGGTCGGATCTACAACGCGTCGGTGAGAGCAGTTTTGCTCTATGCTTGTGAAACCTGGCCTCTCCGAGTTGAGAACGTTAGACGACTCTCTGTGTTCGATCATCGCTGTCTCCGAAGGATTGCTGACATTTAGTGGCAACACCATGTCAGTAATGCAGAGGTTCGGCATCGTGTGTTCGGGTACAGAGATGATAATGCAATCGATGTCATCATCTTGAAACACCAACTTCGGTGGCTTGGACATGTTCTCCGAATGTCGTCCCAGAGGATTCCACGTCGTGCATTATTTGCCGACTCTGGGACTGGTTGGAAGAAGCGGAGAGGTGGTCAGTGCATGACATGGTGTCGTGGCATGAAAGAAAGCTGCAAAGGACTGGCTTGTGTTGGTCCTTCACGACTCCCTGGTTGGGGTCTGAGAGATGGTGCTACACAGTGGCTAGAGACGTTATCAGATATGGCTCAGAATAGAAGCCAGTGGCGATCCTGATGTAACCTTCTTTTACTTTCTTCATAAAAAGTGGTTCTGTCTCCCTTACCTGAAAGATTTCTTCCGATTGTACCTTTCGTTCCCTGATTACTAGCACATTACCTTACACCAATCTCTTCGTTATTGTTCTCTCTTTTTTTTGTTGCGCTCCTTAGCTTTTTTTTCTTTCTTTGTATTCCTCTCGAATTTTCATTGTTTTGTGTGGCGCATATATATTGGCGCTCTCTTGTACCAATATTCATGTGTCCAAATAAATAAATAAATAAATAAATAAATTTTATAGATTTCCGAAATATCCTGGCGATCCAGTACTAGAACATACGATGTTTGATAATGGAGCAGTTGGTAAGAAACTCTAAAACTGAATTGTCGGATATATTATAATTTATCAGATTGATGTACGTGCTCAAATTAACAAAACGTTATTCTGCTTGATCAACGACAATCTGCTTTGTGGTTACATTTAATTCTTAGTGATTACTGAGAATCAATGTCATACCTTAATTAAAGGGGATTTTGATGTGTTTCCACAATTATTGGCACAAATGAATGTAAACAGTATGACTATACAGAAAAAAAGTAAATGATATACTAGGCAAGCTTAGGAAATCACATTTTTTTTAGAAAGCCATATAATACGTGAGAAATTAATTAAAACCGTTCATTCTTGAACAGAAACAAGAAATAATAATACTTATGATCATAATAATGATAATAATAATAATAATAGTAATAATGAAGTTTTAAATTCATTTGTTGTTTTACTTGTATCTTCCCATTGTTATTTAGGACTGCAATTGATTAGTCTCATGTTGACATATGTGCATCCTGTGTAGATTGCCTCGATATAGCCTTAAGTCGCAAACTTTTTAAACAAAGATGGATAGTGGCTAACAGTGGAACCCAAGAGAACGCTACTGGGTTCGAGTCCCGGAGTGGACAACAACTCTGAGATGCAGGTACACCCAGCTGACGAGTCCCAAATAGGACTGGATCCCACTGCTAGCCACTATCCATCTTTGTATAATAATAAAATATTTTGAAAATAAAAAAGGGATATGAAAAAAATGGCCTCGTTATGAGATAAAAAACCATGACGAATAAAATTCTTTTTCTTTTCTATATTGATAAATGAAAGCGTAATTTTGCAAATGTAAGGTAAATTGAAGAATGTAATATGTCAGAGTATTCTTTTTTAAACAGTTCATAATAGGGCCGAGTATAATTGAGTGATGAATGTATCGTTGATAGTTTCTTTAAATACTACAGTTAACAAATACAACTTCTTATAGAGTAAATATGAAATATTTTTCACTATAGCTATCTAAAATATTGAAATAAAACATTGGGATGATATAAATATTTTTCTAATTAAAACATGTTCATATAAGTAGTATTAGAGTATGTCATTATGTGATAGTACAGATAATGAGCTGAAATGTTAAAGATAGATATTATTAGAGGAGCATAATTCATGTAGACAGTAAACATGAACAAATGATTATTTTATCACCATCATTTTGTGTGACTGATTTTCATTCCCACCCCTCTAAATGCAAGTTGTTGCTCTAGGACTGGCCTACATCAACACCTGAACTAAGGATAGGGAGTGAAATAGTCGAACGCGTTGACAACTTTATTTATCTTGGAAGTCTGATCAGCCCTAATAGGTTGGTATCTGACGAAATCTCAGCACGGATTCAGAAAAATTATTTGGTTTTTACCAACTTATGTCACTTATGGCGAAGGCGAGATTAAGGGACGAGTATACTGTGAAGCAGTTCGTTCTGTTCTACATTACGGTTGCAAAACGTGGCCATTAAGGGTAGAAAATAGCCGTAAGCTACTAGTATTCGACCACAGATATCTTGGAAATATTGCTCGCATCTGCTGGGATCACTGTGTAAGTAATAGTGAAGTTAGACTCGGGGTATTAGGGAATGATGGTAAATGAGTTAATGAGATTGTAAATCTCCATCGACTGAGATAGTTGGGTCACGTGTTACGTATGCCTGTACACTGATTACCACGACGTGTTGGAGTGGTGGCCAAACTGAAACGCGACGTCAGTCCATAAAGTCACTAGCTTCTAGTCTGAGCCATGTTGGTAGATGCAGTCTACTTAGTTGGGGTCCGCTTGACTATCGTAACCAATGGTCGAAGAGTCTGACATGGCTCAGAATCGATCATAATGGGGTCGGTGTATACGCTCTTTGTCTTCTCTTTCTTCTCACCAACTAATTCTTTCTTCTTGTACTATATCCTTTCGTGCAATCTTTCTTTTGTACATTACGATCATTGAAGTGATTACTCCTATAAATTTGGTGTTCATCTTGTTCTGCTAATAAGATTTGGCAACTTGGACCGATGCATATATGTGCCTGGTCCTACGTTGTACCTAACTAAACAAACTAAATAACTTAATGTTTTTGAACACTACGGATATGATATTGTTAATATATGTTAGATTTTATGTGAATAAGCACATCCAAAGGTAAACTAAATTACAATATTAACTTAGCTCAATTTAGTCTACATTTATTAAAAATTCATTTAATTAACATGCTCATATTCAATGTACTGAAATCAGTAACCATTAGTCAATAATAAATGTACACATGGAGAAAAACAATCAATTCCGTATGTTCAATAGAATTTTGATTACATGAATAAGTAAAAAAAGAAGCAAAACATTTAATTATCCAGTGAAATTTATACAGTAAAATTGTTACTAGTTACAAGCGATATATTTCAATTACACAATATAAATATAACAACACCGTTTATTTTACATTAAAACGAAAGCATTGCTTTTAGTATTAATATTATTATCAATGGCTTTATTCAACATTACATTCTTAGTACAATATAGAATACTCAGCACAAAGTATTTCAACAAGTTCCCCTTTCCTATTTCTTTATCGATCCTGACGATAAGTATTAAGTAATCACTAGTTAGATGTTAAAAGTTAAGGAATCAACATCTGAGTAATGTTAACCTTTTTCTATGCATATTTTCAACCATCATGATGTCTCTGATTATAATTTTTTTGTAAGTTGTACAGCGAAAGCTCGAAGACTTTTCATAAACACCCCTGAATAGATTATGCGATTAGTTTCCATAATGATGTGTTGAAACAAAAAAAGAAAAGAGAATTTGTTGAAGATTCAGATAACAGAAACAGGTAGCTCAGATATTGGGGCAAGCAAACATGTTACATGCAAAAAAAGTTTCTGTTGAACTACAAATAGAAATGTTTAAAACAATATGTTTACCTTAATAAAAAGATTTCATTAAATCATACAGAGCTTTTTGTTCACAAGATCTAATCATATATCAAAATATAAATTGAGTAATT